GAGGAAGGTCCGACTCTGGCAAAAGAGACGGTTTGTGTCGAGAAGGTGATTCTCCGGGAAAAAACTGCACACCGGTTCGGCCTCTTGAACCGAAGAGCAGGCAGTAGAGGAGATAGTCATCATGGTCACTAGTGTAGATCCTGTGGTTGGGGTGAATCCTGTGGTCGGGAGCAAGAAGAAGGCGAAGAAAATTGTTTTCCGGAAGGGGGCGACCACCAACTGTCAGATGGACAGCGTTGCCGGTACACAGTTTGGGGTCTCACTCTGCGGTAGCAGCAAGTAGATATTGATTGAGGGGCTGGGTGATGGTGCGTTCAAATCTTGGTTTGCATTTTTGCTGTATTATTGTGAAGATAAGCGCGTGGTTTGGTGAAGATTGTGCGTGTTGCGACTTGTAAACTTGCAGTTTTTCTGTTGTGCTTCAATCGGCGGCGGCGAGAAAAGTGTTGTGTACAATACCCATTATAACTTTGTTCAGAATGCGAGAAAAAAAAATCAACGACGGATTCGTGATCCCCACCCCAAAATTGACATACCCTGAAATTTCAGATCGATCTGACGATTTTTCAAAATCGGGGATATTTTGGCACCATCCCCGGTCTGTGCGTTTTCGCAAATTGGCAAACGAAAAAGAGCAAAATGCATTGAAACCCGGTCACCACCATCATCAAGTTTGGTTTTCAAATTTTGCATATCATCATAACTATGATATAGGATCCTTGTATTGAAATTTCAAGGGTTGGGCGGAGAAGGTGACGACCCGTCCTCCCCCCCCCCAAATAAATTCGGCCATACCGCGGAACCCGCCTGCTGTGTGGTGCAGCGGAGATCCGTTCCAAATATACCCCGTTGTGCAATGGCCCTTCTCAACAAGCGCTGTGACTGGATGGTCCCAACAGTTCGCCGCGCCGCCTCGGTGAGTCGCCACGCTATTTGTCCGCAAAGACACAGCGATAAAAATATCTCAGGCAGGAACCGCAGGAGGGGGTCCAACCCCGCCCTCCTATGTGACCCCGGTTGGGTCTTCTAGCTGGTAGAAGTGGAGGTTAGGGGCCAGAGGGGCAGACGACAGAGTCCAATGATGGGAGACAAAAATAAAAAGAGAGAGATGAGACGCAATCACTTGACCACGCTCCACCGGAGTCGGTTTGGCCCGATAGGACGGGCAGAACACAGAACATTGCTGAGATAGACGCAGCTGACACGATTTCCGTAGTGATGTGCCGAAGTGATCATGGCGACCTCTCTTTGCTCAATTTTCTGTGTGTGGAAAACAGCGTGTAGCTGAGCGGCCTCGGCGACCGTTTTCGAGAGAGTCACGTTCACGACCAACGGAATTCAATACCAACGTAACAGGTTCACACAGCACCTCGTGTACTTTCCGGGTAGACTAGTCTACGTATGGTACGAGGCCTGCGCGTCAAGACCACGAGCGAAGAAAAAGTGGAAGGTTGTGGTACAACCTGGTGTTTTGTCAGCACGGTTAGAAAGATCAAAAGCGGGCACCGTAGGTAAGATATAGTTGATAGGTAGGTATGTACAACGAAAATAAAAGAAAAAGGAAGGAGAGATACTTTGCTCACAACAGAAGAGACATCTGAAAGAACGAGCAAGACGACAAGCAAACAAGAGGAGGAGTAGAAGAGAGACAAAGGAGGAAGAAGAAGGAAGCGAATGTACGGAAGGGAGGAGACAGACAGAGAAGAGAGCAAGAGCATCGTCGGTTCGTTTTTTTTTTTACGTCGGCCGACCTGGCGCTTGAGCGCGGGGTCCCATGCCGAATACGGTGAGGCTTGGGACGTTGACACCGATGAGGCGCCACGACGAGGAGGAGGAAGAGAAAGGCAGACGGTGGGGCCGAGGAAGGGGAGAGGACGGGGGCCCGCCGCCGAGGGGCGGAGGTGAGAGGAGGAGGTCGTCGAGCCAGGGTGAGCGACGGGTGACCAGTGTAGAGAGCACTGGGTCTTCGAGGATTGAGTCACGTCTATCGCCGTCCGCAGGGGGGAGAACGCGCCACTCAAGACCTAGGCAGACGCGTTCCATCTCCCCAATGTTAGTTAGGCAAGCCCAGTCTACGTACGTCAGC